AACAGTCCCTGATAACACTCCGTGAGTGGTCTCTTTAGGGAAGAGGAATTTATGAGATGTGGTGAACCATAAGAAATATGGCCCCACTTAACCAGCAGTAGTAGCCAAAGGGAATGCCAAGCTCTGGTGATTTGTGATCCCTTCTTCATTTAGGTCTAAGGGTTAGGCTTAGAAGGCTGTTTTATGCTTGTGTCTTCTTGTGAGAAAAAAGGAAAATTGGGGTGAGGGTGGAAGGAAGGAGAGGAAGTGTGGTCTGGGCCCAAGATTTCATCAACATAAGGAACTCCTGATGTAGAAACACCTTCTGCCAATGCAGATCAGTAACTACTCGGCAACTCATAATCTTAATAAGTTTCTTCTCACGTGGAGTTGAATCTGCCTTTCTGTAGTTTCCAACCAGGTCCTCTACCTCTGCTCTCTGGGGTCAAATAGGATATGTCTAATCCCTCTTCCACGAGCTAGGAGACTTAGCAGATACAGTGCTGTGCCTGGAGTCAGGAAGATGAGTTCAAATCTGGTCACGGACATTAGCTGTGTGACCCAGGGCAAGTCACTTCACCCTGTTTGCCTTAATCCACTAGAAAAGGAAATGGCAAATGGCTCCAGTGTCATTGCCAAGAAAATCCTATATGGAATCATGAAGAGTTGGACACACCTGAATGACTAAATGACACCAATCCCTCTTCCACATGACAGTGGAAGGAAACTATCATGTTTCCCTACAGTGTCTGTTCCCTAGGCTAAACATCATCAATTTCTTCGAACTGACCCTTTTATTCCATAGACTCCAGTCACCTCATCATCCTTGCCACATTCTTCAGCACTCTTTTCAGTATCCTTCCTAAAATAAAGCACCAAGAACTAAAAAAAAAAAAATACTCCTGTTATCATCTAACTAAGGCAGAGTATAGTGTGACTTTCACGTTCCCTGGTCCTGGACCCCATTCCTCTAATAATCAAGACAGCGGTGAGCTGGAGCTAACTCTTACGGCACTGAGCTCGTTGTCAAATTTTCAGTGTGATCATTTACCCCTCAGAAATTGGCAAACATTACAAATCAAGGCCTGATTTGTTCTTTTATTGATGGTCTAGACTTAAAAAAGTGATGGAGAAAACATTAATAATGCTGATGAAATTTTAAAACGCATCATGCTTTTCAGACAGACAGTTGTTAAACATTTACCAGCACCCCGCGGAATGAAGCCTAATGTTGCATTAGCATTTTTGGTTTCTAGGTTACATTGCTGAGCTTACAATCCAACCAAAACCTTTTTCCCTACTATGGGGGGGAGGGTTTACCTTCTCATCACTATGAGACACAGGGTAAAATTGGAAGGAGAGGGCTATATCAATATAAGCCCTTATATCATATGTCATATATCATATATAAGAATAAGATCTATGGATCACCATGGCATTAGAATTGTTCAGCTTGGCTGCCCAGGAGGGCAGAACCAGGAGAAACGAGGAGAAGCTGTAAAGAAGTTACTTTAGGCTTAGGAGAACTTCCTACCAAGGGAAGAGAAAAACACCAACACTTCCTAACAATTAGAGTTGTCCCAAAATAGAATGGGATGCCTGGAGAGGTAATGGGTTCCCCCTCCTCAGAAGTCTTCAAGAAGGGACTGGATGACCATTTATTGGGTATTTTATAATGGTGGTTCCTTTCATGTGTCAACTGGACCAAACCGGCCTTTAATCTGAGGATGGCCAGAGCTGAACACAGCAGGCTAGAGACAGGAGTCAGGAATTAAACAGAAGTTTCATTTCAAAGTGGGGGAAACAGCTTGTAAGCAAGGAGGGGATCTAGACACATGTGCTAGGGCCTCACCCCTAGTGGGGGGGGGGGGACCCAAGGCAGTGTGAGGAGATCTCAATACTTATATCAATGGCTACACAGTGAGCTACAGCCTTGACAATGAGCAGGGCTTCATGACCAGAACATGGGTACTTGTCCGATGTTGTCTGTTACTTGTACAAGCTCAGAGAACATCTGATTCTGGTCAAAGTAATACAATAATTATATGATTTTGCCAGAGTGTGAGATCATCCAGAGAGAGAGTGCAAAGGATTGTTGTTATGCCAAGCTAGGGACACAGCTTGCTTGCTGGGACTTAGCTCTGGAAAACAGGGTGTCTCCTAGTATCTTGACACATGCATGGGCTGAACTAAATGACCACTGAAGCCTCTTTTGACTCTGAAATTTTGGGATTCTGTGATGCTGTGATTACAGGTACCCATGAGCCTCCTAACTCTCAATGAGACCAGGGATTCTCTTTTAATTCACCCATTGAATTCATCAGATGCAGGCAGTTGTTGAACTGACTCAGTACCCTTGGGAGCAAAGATGATTACAGACGTATATAGCTCCTTCTCTTCCTGAGCGTGAAGCATGCCCTAACTGCATCATACTGGTCTAAGCAATCAATAAGGTGTTATCCTTTCCTGTCTTCCTGCAGAACTGTGGGGTTTTTTTTTTTAAAGCATTAGGAACTTTAATCAAAAAAAGAGAGAGAAAATATACCTCAGTAAAAGTGCAAATGGAAAAGGAGAAATTGCAGCAAATATCAGTGAAATTGATATTATTAGGGAATAATAATGATGGTAACTTACATTTATATAATGCTTTTAAGATTTTCAAAGCTCTTTACATACATTTTTTTCTTTTGAATTTACCTATGGTTATATTTTAACAAAGCAGAGATTTAGACAAAATTGATAATTATTTATATAAATATGAATTGACAAAACTGATGCATAGTATATACCAGAAATTTTAAGTGAAAGTGATAACCCTTTTTTTAAATATATGTGCTGCTAAAGTGAGCACAACACATTTATTTTTGAGGGGTAAAAACTAGAAAGAGAATAGAGTTTGGTTTTGGAAGTCTCAGTCTTTATAACTGCAGAAAATTGGAGTTTTAGGTGAAGATCCTTAAGAGATTTTATTTATTTCATAGAATTGAAGTGAGACACGACCTTTGAGGTCATAGGAAAATGAGATCATAGATCTGGAACTATAAGGAAATGTAGAAGTCATCTAATCCTTCTACATAAAAAGGAAACTGAGTCCTAAAGTTGAACTTGCTCAGAATAAGCATTTTCATTATCCTAAATCAGATCCTCATCACTTATTTCCTGGATTACTGTAATAGCCCATAATTGATAACCTTGCCTCACGACTCTCCCTTCTCCAATCTGTACTTCACACAGCTGCCAAAGTGATATCCTTAAAGGCCTGAACACATCACTCCTCTGTTGAATAGACTCTAATGTACCTCTAAGATAGTACCTCTAGGTACCTCATAGTACCTCTATTATAAAAAAAAAAAAAAATGAACTCCTCTGTTTGTCATTTAAAGCCTTTGACAACTTGACTCCAACCTACATTACCAGACTTATTATTATTCATGACTTCCCTGCCTGCATTTGATGCTCCAGAAAAACATGGCCTATTTGCTCTTCTCCATACACGGCATCCCATCTCCATGCTTTTGCACAAACTGGTTCCCATACCAGGAATGCCCCTCCCTTCTCAACTCTGCTTTTTAGTATCCCTTGCTGTTCATTCTATTCAGTTGTGTCTGACTCTTTGTGATCCCATTTGGGATTTTCTTGGCAAAGATACTCGAATGGTTTGCTATTTCCTTCTCCTGCTCATTTTACAGATGAGGAAACTGAGGCAAACAGGGTACAGTGACTTGCCCAAGGTTACACAGCTAATAAGTGTCTAAGGCCAGGTTTGAACAGAAGTCTTCTTGACTCCAGGCCTGGCACTCTATGCACTATGCCACCTAATTACACCCTCCCCCCACCCCCCAGGTGATAATAGGGAACCAATAAACTAGCGTTTATCGAATAGAGTAGTGATGTGACCAAACCTATATTTTAAGCTGAGTGGAAGATGGTTTGGAGTGAGGAGAGATTTGAGGCAGGGAGACCAGCCAGCAGGTTATTGCAATAGTCTCTGGTGAGAAGTGATGAAGGCCTTACAACAATGGTGGCTGTATGAGTGGAGAGAAGACGTCGGGAAGGTAGAAGTAACAAGATTTGACAACAGATTGGATACGTGCGGTGAGTGAGAAGGAGGAGTTGAAGATGATGCCATGGTTTTAAGCCTGTGTGACTAAGAGGATGGTGGTCCCCTTGACAGTAATAAAGAAGTCTGGAGTGAAAGGGAAGAAGGGTGCAGGACTGGGAAAAGATAGTAAGTCCTATTTTGGACATGTTGAATTTAAGATGTCTATGGGACATTCAGTATAGGATGTCTTATAGGAAGTTAATTGGAGATTTGAGACTGGAGGTTGACTGAAGGGTTAGGGTTGGGCAAATAGATTGAGGCCAGCCCTCTGTTACACCTAGCTGCCTCTCACCTATTCCAAGAGCTTAATTTAGCAGAAGAAGAAACTGAGCCTCAGAAAGATGAAATCATTTGCTTAGGGTCACATAACTAGTAAGTAATAGAGTCATGACTTAAAATCCCAATCTAGAACTCCTTCTACGCTATATAGAATGTCTGTTAACAGTATCAAATATGGTGCTTTGCACAGGGAAAACACACACACACACACACACACACACACACACACACACACACCACTGACTGTCATACAGGATGGTGGGTGGTCTGGAGGAGGGTAATACAAACAACAGAATGGTCATTTGAAGGTAAGAAACATGTCACTGAAAATACTCTCTCTTTACCTACAGCATAGCATCACTTCTAATTCACACATCCCACCTCTGACATTATGGGGAACCTTTACCTGCCGACTATTTCTGTGTCATCTTTTCCACTCAGAGCAGCTCACAGATTTTGTTTGCTTCTCATTGAAGAAAAGAAAAGAAAAGAAAAAAGTACCCCCGTGCCATATAAGGCAAGAGGAAGTGTCAAGCTCTAGGGTGGTTGGCTGGCCATGTCTGTGTGTGACAGCCCCATGATGCTTCTTCCTGTCTCCGTTACATTGTGAATTTCCACCTGCCCCCACTCTCTGCTTATAATGCACAACACATGAGCTTAGAACGTTCAGTCTCCTCCTTCTCCAGCAGTGGATTAGTTGAGGCAGAGAGTGTCATGCTCTTTCTCCCATTTTGTACAGTTCAGCAGAGGTGAAAGAGCTCTGGCTAAAGACCCTCTGAAGGTAAGTACTTTGGATTCCCACTAAGTAATGAATTTGAAGCCTCAAGGGCCTAATCATGGATAATTGACAGCACACATCGAAGAGAATAGTGGCATGTCAACAGAGATTCTGAGGGCTGAAAATGTGGTATCTCTACTAAAGGTTACAACTGCTGGATTTGTTCTCTTTGCCTCTACAAGTAGCTGAATTCCTAAGAAAGGCAAAATCTTGATCATTTAAAAGCTGTTTTGACATTAGTTTGCATTGACTGACGGATGAAAAATCATTCGGCAAAAGTAAACTCGAATTCGAAAGTAAACGATAATATTACGTTTTGGAATGGTAAAGTTCTCATACTTAAATAATTTAGGAAATAAACGAGTTACAGATTCTCTCCTCAGAGCATATGGCAACAGATACAACTGACTTTAAATAAATCCTCTTCTCTCAAAATAATTTTAAAAGGCTGTTTTTAGCAGAGCAGCACTACAATTGACTCTGACTAGGCTTAACTCTCTTGCCTGCTTCTTTATTTTAGGCAGAGCCGAGAGAAGAGAAGAGTAAAGTTCATGAAGGTGCTGAGCGGCTGCAATACTGTAAGTATCTCTACTGTTTTTAGAAATTCATGTTTCTTACAGGGTAGAGCCCAACACCGTTCACTGATCTTGTGTTCTTTTCTTTTCTTTTTCTTACAATCCAAAACACTAAATACAAATTATATGGAAACTTTAATTGAGTGTCAGTCAGAGATAAGAAGTGCATTAAATATTTGGTCTTGGACCAGAATTTCAGTTCACTTGAGCCTTGGTTAGGATAGATATGTAGACATGTAAAAGCGAAGTAATATGGCATGAAAAGAACCCCCTGACTTTGGAGTTTGAGGATCCAGGTTCAAATCCCAGATCTATCACTTACTAGTTATATGATCTTGGACATCATTTAGTCTGTCTGAGCCTCAGTTTCTTTCTCTATAAAATGAGACGGTTAGACCTGATGATCTCTAAAGTCTTGTACAGCTCTAAAGCTATGATCCAATAATAATGTAGCAACTTAAATTTCTAGTTAAACTAGACTCTTCTACAGACTGTTCCTTAGAGTTTAAGATTAATTCTAGAGAAACAGAGAGGTGATGTACTTAACATATAGAACAAGACATATTTTTGGTCAGAGTCAATGTGGGACTCTGCAAAAACAATATTTTGCTTTACTATGCATATTTGTTATGAGGATTTGGGTTTTTTTCCCACCCAAGGGAGAGAAGGAAAGAAAATAAGAGTTTGCTAATTAAAAAATTTTAATTTAGACAAGATTAATTTTAGACTCTTGGAGCTGATTTAACGTATTCTTAATCTCTTTTAATATAAGCAAAACATTCACAGTGTCATGTGCAGAGTTGATTTAGGGAGAGGATTGCTTTAATGACTGATCTCTAACTGAGATAAATATCTTTCTAGGGCGATGTCAAAGAACACCACTTGCTGCCACAATGTGATAGTGAAGATGGGATTTGCCACCTGATTGGTGAGTTTCAAAAATAAACTCATATCTTATATAAATGCTGAGAGTTAGTGTTCTTGGTTTGCCAAACCACAAAGGCTTCACTACTAGGAATTTTTGTTTGATAAGTGTTCTGTTAACCACTACAGAACATTAACACTTAGGTGACCGGCAGTCTTCAGCCTGCCTGCCTAGGGATGGATGGCTCAGAAAGAGGAGGCACTGTGATCTCTCTAGAATAACCACCTTCTCCCAAGGGCTCTGAATCAGTTTAATTACTGCCTCATACACTTTTGATGATTTCAGTTCCAGGGCTAAGGGAATAATGTGCATGCAAATACTACAAATGTGATGTATTTTCCAACTCTCTCCTTTTTCCCTCTCTCTTTTAGTGTCTTAGACCTTAGGTCTTTCAGTAGTCTTTGCTTATAAGTTAGAACCTCAGTTGGTTATACCACTAACAACTCAATTTTTTTAAAGCTTCTTCAGCATATTTGACCCAAATGCAGCCCTAACAGCTCTCTTGAGCTTTAATAGGCATTGAATATGGGAATTAGTCAACATGTTTATATATTAGCTAAGAAGCAGATAATGGATAGAAATAATGGATAGAAAGCTGGCTTCAGATTCAGGTATTTGGTCCAAACTCACACATACTCACTATGTAACCCTGGGCTTAATCACTCAACCCCCTCCATGCTCTGGGCAACTCTCTAAGAGAGTAAGTTACAGAGAAGGTATGGACCTGCGTTGATAAAGGAAATTTCTTTACCAGGGAGCACTATATACCACTGAGATATCCCTATTTAGCAACTGGAACATGAAGTTTCTGGAATGAAAAGAACTTATCAAACAAAATTTCCATTTCTGGCTTTTGGGCAAAAGAATAAACTTTGTGGCTAAGAGTTACACTGAAAATTCTCAAGTGCAAGGTTTGGGTACAAGCATTTCCCTCATTTAGTAGTAATAGCAAGACAGCACAAGTTGGCTGAGAAAGAAAACACCAACAGAGACTGCCCCCTCGTGGCTAGCTAATGCTATGATGGTTCCAAAGAATTACAGCTGGTCATGCTATCTTTGTCCTTGTGATATTGAGCAAGTAACTTCCTCCCAAAGAGTTTCATTTTCTTCATCTGCACGATAGGGAAATAAGACTACAGAGCCATCTCACAGACGGGTGAAGCACATGGATAAGGGTCTGGCCAGAAATGTCCAGTGTGGTTATTAAAACCACCATTTTAAGGCTGGAGTGTTGGTGATCTACACGTTGCTTTGCTACCCTTCTAGAGAAACGACTTGCCTCAGCATAAAAACAGGAAAGGTGGAGACTTGTAGTTGTGTCTTGGTGTTGATGTTTAGAGCTCAGTTGCCTTGGTGATAATGGGGTTGTTTTTCAGTCAGGCTTCTCTTGATTAAGTGTCTCTTACCCTCTCTGTTTTCTTAATTTTTTTAAATTATTTCTCCCACACAGCCTACTTTAGTTGGTTATTATGTGATAACACATTACTGTATATTTCCTTATGTCCCATTTGCTACATGACAATTTGGTCTAAGTTGTCTCTTTTGCTCGCTGTTGTTTGTCACAGAAAATAAGAAGAGAAAGGTGATAACCTGGCCTTTCCCCATGAGAAGGACAGCCTCTTCATCGGACTCTTCTGGATCTCTGACACCAGAAGGGAAACCTTCCCTGTTTGACCAGCCCTTGTCAATAATCTGCGGTGATGATGACATCCTTCCCCAGCCCATTCAGGTACACTGGGTTCCAAACGCACTTCAGTTCTGTCTTCCTGTTCAATGTTAGAAGTAGAGTCCTTCAAAGTTGTTCCTTTGTGATGCTCATGCTGAGCCTATTGAAGTAAAGTCATTCCCTACTGGTCCTTTCCTTTTTGAAACAGAATTTGCATTTATAAGCACATCAGGAAAATGCATGCTCTCCTCCCCCCTACCCAGGGGAGGGCCCAACGTCTCCAGTATTTCAGGCTTTCCAGAAGCTGCAAAAGATTATAGATACAGAATACTAGGAATTTAATGCAGAATATTCAACATTTAATATATCTTAACCTGGGGTCCATCACCTTGGTTTAAAAAAAAATTTTGATAACTGTATTTCAATATAATTGGTTTCCTTTGTACTCCTATATATTTTATGCATTTAAAAACATTATTCTGGGAAGGGGTCCATGGGCTTCACCAGACTACCAAAGGGGACCATGGCACACAAAAAAAGGTGAAGAAGCCCCGATATATATGGGATGGCTTCACAGTAAGGGGAGGTAGAGGTGCATTTGAGACTATGTAAAGTAACTACAGCATTTCCCATGGCACCTTTCCTTGTAAAGCTGGGCAACGTTGAAGAGAACAGTGAGTGGCCATGTTGAAAGAGAAAAAGCTATGTATAAAAGCTGCCAGATTCATGTTTTTGAAAAAGGAGCAACTTGATGTGAAAGGCATTGTCATGTTAGAATTCATCCTAAATTTAAGACAAAAACAACCTTTGCTCAGTCTTAATATGATCTTAGGCCTGTGAGCCTCAGCAAACTAGGGGTCTTAGTTTTGCTTCAGCCAAATCCAATAAATGTAATCATTTTTCATTTCTATATATGTTTCCTATAGGAAATTCTCAATATTCTTCGAAGCAAAGGCCCTTCCACAGAAGGAATATTCAGGAAGGCTGCCAGTGAAAAGGCTCGGAAAGAGCTTAAGGAAGAGCTCAATTGTGGGGGAACGGTCAGTTTAGAGACCAGATCTGTGCACCTACTGGCTGCAGTTTTTAAGGTAAAATTATATTATAGGTTATAGATCACAGATCTACAACTGGAAGAGACCCCCTACAGACTATCCATCCCGGCTCCTTCATTTTACAGATGAGGAAACTGAGGCATAAATTGCCGAAGGTCACATGGATAGCAAATACATGGGCTGGGATTCAAACCAGGGCTGAAATGATAGATACAGACTGAAGATTCTAATAAACTTGTGACTGATTATTTTAATGAAACGAGCAGCTATATCACTCTAAGGTTCAGACTACTTGACCTTTAAAGATTGACATTTCAGTGAACTTTTCTTTTTTGAGACCCTCTTTATCCCTGTGGTCCCAAATTCTTGGGAAACACCAAGACTGATTCATGGCCAATCTCATGGAACCAGATTCCCTAATTTAGAAGGCACTGCTACTTTCAGTTCACACCTAGAGATGTAATTTTATACCTGCCAGCAGGTAATCACTGAAGAGCAATGTGAAATAGAATAGTTTCCCCAACTGAGGTTACAGGAATAAGTTAGATGTATTACGGTAATAACTGATTTCCCTGGAAGGAATCAGTCAGCACACTTCACAACAGACAGTTGTTAAGCCACATACCTTTCTTCAAACAGGATTTCCTCAGGAGTATCCCACTCAAGCTACTTTCATCAGATCTGTCTGAAGAATGGATGGCAGCCTTAGAGAAGCCGAATGAGGACAAAATTGAGAGCCTGAAACAGTAAGTAATAAAAGCAACTGATTTTGGGAATCAGTTTTCTATACCAATAGACATAGGATCATAGATTTAGAGCAGCAAGGGGCTTCAGAAACCATCAAGTCCAACCTTAGGCTAGAGTATTTTATGACTTAATTTTATAAGATCATAGAGTTTTTAAAAACTGGGTAACTTGTTTACCACCCCCCAGAATATGAAAACTAGGGGGCATCCCTAAATAAAACTTTAAAGAGGTCGTTGTGAACCCAATAAAAGGAAATACAACTTTTACAAAGCAGGCAATAAATGGATAGAACTCATTATACCAAGAAATAGTTTTGAACATGAATATAAATAGACTTGATGAGGTTTTAAATAAATTAATGGATGACAAATCCATTAAAGTTTATTAAGCAAAACTAGGGATTTCTAGAGGAAACCTCTAGTCTTCTGAGTTTGAGATCACATAGAGTAAACATGCTATCTTACAAAATATCCCTCAGTGCTCCTCCCAGATACAGAATACAGAATGGAACAGTGATCTTCCCCAGAGTAGCATTCTTATGATCATCTGAACTAGAAATTATGTAGAATTAAATAAGCATATCAGTACAAGTATATTCAGTATTCAATATTGAATTTAATAATTGAATTCAATATATTCAATATTTAATTTAAGTACATCTTTCAAGGGACTGTATATTTGATTAACTAATAAAAGTTGGATCTATTAATGAAAAGATAATCTTGAAATCTAATTTTAAAACCATCAAACCCTAGGAACACACTGTGCCAATAACTGTGGACTGCATAAATATCATGTTTTCTGCACATTATTGGATGGCTAAAGTATAACTTGGATAGAATAGAAGACATTGAAGTTTTGTGGTGTGTGGTTTTTTTTTTCTTTAAAAGATCCATCTTAAGATTATCTCATTAGAAGAACTCAAAGTACTTTTCAAACATTGACCCTTTTCTGTGAGCAAGGGAAACAAGAAATGCCATCTTTCCATTTCACAAACTGAAAGACTGAGATAACAGACATAATTTATAATTCTTACTAAATACAGTTATCACCTTGATGATCTTCATGAGCACTGACTGAAAAGTTGTTTTCCCTTAGTCTATGATATGTTTGCTGTCTTTTTTTGGTGGCTGCAGTCAAAGAAATCCTATGAAAGCCAAAGATATCCTATGAAAACAAATTTTGCAGTGTAAAGAGACGAGGAACATCAGTCTCAGCTAACAGGCAGTCCATACACTTTCAGGTGTAGAACAAGACCGCAGAGCCTTGTCAAATCATAAAATCACAGACCTGGAAGGAATTTCACTTCCAGCCATGATTGAAATTACATCCGCACTAATGGTCAAGTGTGGCACTGTAATAGTCAAATGTGATAGTGTGGGTGTTTTTCTTTGTAAAGGCTTTACTCATTAGGTCTTCAAAGCCCTTGGTGAATCAGTTTCAGAGTGTGCTCAGCTAGCTGTCCCTGGACATTTCTGAATGGAAGTTTCATCTGTACACATGCATTTTTTCTTCTAATTATCCTCCTCATTGTAAAAGGAAGTGCCAGTTAGGACAAGGCAAGGAGGATCACTTGAATATTCTGCAGGCCACCATCATCAAATTTGTTTTTTTTTTTAATGTCTCTTTTACATCTTATTCTAGGGTCACAAAGAAACTACCAAGGGCCAATCTCTTGCTGCTCAAGCATTTGGTCTGCATGCTCTATGACATCAGCAAGAATTCAGATGTCAGCAAGATGGATTCAAGCAATCTTGCCATTTGTATTGGACCCAACATGCTGAACCTCAACACCGACCAAAGCCTGTCTTTTGATGCCCAGAAGGAGCTGAATAACAAGGTTTGTTCCTCCCCGATTTTGGGAACTTCCCCCTTTCTTCCTATTACTATTCCTTGCAAAAGAAAAAAAAAATTAGTATTGCTCAATTGCCCTGTTTGGGTCAAAATTATCATGAAAAGTGGAAGATTCAGCATGAATTTGTGATTTCTTCACTCTCTCGGCATTTATCATAGATCCACATACCATCTGAGAGCTTCATAACCTACCACTCAATATACATCATTATTCCAATCATGCTGTCAACCAGCAGACAAAAAACAGTAATTATTGCGTCAGTCTGACTCCCTAATATACACACGTGGCTTTTTCATTTGGGACACCACACCTTGTAGTAGCTGATTACATAACTATAGAAAAGGAAAACGGTCTAAGAAATGCAAAATGGACAATTTTTGCAAAATGATTTAAAAAAGAAGAAAATGCAGTTGTCTTTGATGAAACCAGCCCCCATAACTTTAATAGTATTGACTAGAAATTAATCAGTAGGTCTTTTGTTTCCCTGTTTGTTACTTCAAATGAATCCATGAGTACTTTACTCAGTTAACAAAAAAAAAAAAAAAATAAATAAATAAATAAAAGAAGCCGCTAAGTTCCATATCATCTGTCAACATTTGCTCTTGTGTTTTTCTCACAGATTAAGACATTGGTGGAATTCTTCATTGATAACTGCTGTGAAATATTTGGAGAAGACATCCAGGGGCACTCTCCCAGCATCACTTCTGATGACTCATTGGAGCACACTGACTGTTCAGGTACTGTCTGGATTATGTATTAACTGTCATTATAATGGAGTATATGCCTAGGCAAATGATTACAGTTGCCAAATACATTCAATAGTTATAGTATTTCCTTTTTAATAAATATTTTTATTGATTTTTTAAAGTACATCGCTATTACTTCCCAATGATTCCTCCCCACTCTATCCCCGGTAATAGAACCCAGAGACACCATATCACTGCATACCCAGCTTCTCAGTGTGATTTTTAGAAAGAGCCATCTTGGTACCACTTGAATATCCAACTTTTAATTTTGAGTATCTCTGAATCATCTTTTAAGAACTGCTTGCCTTTTTGGATACATCAGGGAAAGCTGTTAACTTCACTAAACAATGCTGAGGAGCAGCATACTATAGCTAAAACACTGGATTCATACTCAGAGGACCTGTGTTCCAAACCGAGCTCTGTCACACCCTGTGTGACCTTGGGTCCAATGGCACTTAACCTCTCTGGACTCAGTTTCCCATCTTCAAAATGAAAAGGTTAAACTAAGTGGCCTCCAACATTCCTTCCATCTCCAAAGCTATGATCCAACAACCTTCAGCTACAATATCATAGCTATAAGGCCTATCCTTCCATAACAAAGAAAAAGCTATTAGATGTAGAAATTCTAACCAAGGCAAGTTAGTAAGCAAGAAGAACCTACTATGGACCAGGCACTGTGCTAGGTTTTGTGGATGCAAAGAAAGGCAAAAATAAAACAAAACAAAACACTATCCTTGCCCTCAAGGAGCTCACAGTCTAATAACTAACAGAAATGAACCTTTCAGTGGAATGTTGTTTTCTCCTTTTGTTGCATTTCCTGACACATGCATTTCCCCTAGTATTTTTCTTTCTCTCTATCATCTCCCTCCCAAAATAGCAGGTCCCAAAAGATATAAAAGTCCATTTCTGCAAAAAGCAAATTTCTTGTTAGCCCAAACTTCCAGGAGCCCAACAGTTCTACAGGGCTATGGTTGGGATAAAAAGGGTCAGCCACAGCAATGTGTTTTTCTGAAGTGACCTTTGCAAACTGTAAAGGAAGCCTAAACGTTGTCTAATTTCTCCCTAGATATATCAACTTTGCAAAATGACTCAGCCTATGAGAGTACAGATGCTGAGGCAGAAGGCAGCAGCAGCACTGGCTCTCAAAACAAGCAGCCCCCAGACACTGAAGGACTGGTCCGTGACTTGGACAACGGGAAGCCTCAGCATGAGTCAAAACCAGGGTCTATTATCTCTTATGCTGTGTTACTAAAAAGCTCACTCAGCACTCAAGAAAGGAGGCACTCAGAGCCCAGCACGCCATCCTCGAAAGACTACCTTGAAAGCAGAATCACGAGCCAGAAACTGACTAAGAGTGAGGACAACTTCACCGTCCCCCAGGCAAGCTCCTGTTACAGGAGTCAAGAAGCCAAAGACTCACAGCCCAGGAAACAAAAGTCACTGGGTCTTCCAATAAAGGAAGGAACTTCGTGCTCAGAATCAACCGTTGGGCATTTCCCCCAAACCTCCTCCTGTGGTTCCCTGGACAGTTCCTCCGATAATTCAGTCTTTGCCAACTCACCAGTGGTTTCTCCTTCAAGTCCAAAAAGGAACTTTTTCATTAGGCATCAATCCTTTACAACAAAGGCTGCTGATGCAAACAGTAAGCCAGCCCGAGAGAGAAAAAAACACTCCATGTCATTCTCTTTTGCTACTCACAAAAAGGTGCCAAGTTGGCGCTTTCCCAGAGACCAGGGGAAGAAGGACCTCAAAAAGGAGAGCCAACACACTAGAAGAATTGTCCAGGAAAGCTGTGCCGAAGCTATGGTTAACTACCAGCCGGCTCCAGAATGTGGGGGTTCAAAGTCACGTCTCTTCTCAGCCGAAGAGGTATTCCAATTTGTGGATCAGAAAATCCCTGGAAATCCACCATCCTATGAGGAGGCAGTCCAACATTGCCACATTTCCAAAACCCTTCCCTATAGGAGCGGGACAATCCAAAGTATAAAAGACACCATGCTAAGCCAGGACTCTAGACTGCCCTCTCTTTTCCTTTTGAACTATGGTGGGCACACCAAGAATACACATGGCAGAGACTTACTCAATAGAGACAGTGCATCAGCTGTGAGTGAAACTCGGGCACAGAGTGGGGATTCCAATATCTCTGTGGAAGGGAAAGGACAAATGCCAACATCTGAGTTTTACCGGTTAAGGGTCTTGTCTGAATCCTTGCTAACAAACAAACAAGACTATCTCATGGAAAGGTGTAGTCAGCCAATGTTTGAGATTGACCAGGTCCAATATGCCAAGGAATCCTATGTTTAGGGAGCCAGGCTGTATGCCACAAAAAGCCCTCAGTGACTACTGTAAATATATGGGCTCTGTCAAAAGAACTGCTTCCAAAAACCTTCTTTCACGAAGATAAAAAATAAGCTCCTCTGGAAGTCCACATATGGTGGTCCTCAAAGAGAATGTTTACCCCCCAAAACTGTTGTTCATGTCTATATGAACTTGAGTATGTGCAATATGTAATAAATGTATAAACATAAGTAATACACTGAAGGAATAGCTACATGTTGAGTGTTTGTGTTGCATGTACATATATTATACCCAAGTTGGCACTGAACTCTCTTCTTAGTTACAATGTTTGAAAACAGAACCTGGCCTTTCCTTTGGGCGTGCCTTGCAGGAAATGCAAATCTTCCTATTTTCCTGACCATTTCATCTAGGGAAAAAAATTCATTCCCCTGTCAGAAGTTCAACCCAAATGAGTAGTTTTGTAATCACTAGTCACTTGGGAAGATGGAGAGGGCAATTCTCTAGTAAGAGGAATTCAGGATCTGAACTTTCAGTGAGCCATTAAAAACACCAAAGAAAAACCATTTTTTAAAACCTATGAAAAACAGTTAAATGGTGCCCTCTTAACCATCTCGTTAATCTCGGGGAAACTGATAGAAGGGTGTTAATATTGCTGTGGCTCCCTGATCACACTTCTGAGTTTCTTTTTATTATCATGTTGTTTCCTACTGTTGGACGTCAACATTTTGAAATTTTAAAATACTTGCTGGAGATTGTTTGAAATGTCAACGAAATGACACTAACAATAAATCACCTTCTTCATTTGAAAGCACCAAGTACTCACTCATTCTTTAGTAACAAGGTTGTGTTCTTCCCTGTGGCCGATGGAAACACTCTAAGCAAATGGGGAGAAATACTGGCCTCTGAACCTTATCTCCAGATAGAGTCACTCTGAAACCAGAACGTCAGAGCATGAGAAAAGATGCAATATGGCAAAGACATTTGTATTTGTTTAGTATTTTAAACTTTTTCAAAAAGTTTTCACACATAAATTGCCTCATTATTTTATGGGGCTTCCATGCTGGCATATCTATTGGAATCATTATGAATAATAATATCTCATATTTTTATAGCATTTTAGGTTTTACAAAGTACCTCACATACATTTTCTCATTTGATCCTCACATAAGCACTACAGATGAAAAACTGGAAATCTTAGGTGGTAAGCCCAGGATCACCAAGCCTACTAAGTATCTGAGGGGAGATTTGAATCCAAGTGTTCCTGACTCTAAGTCCAGCACTCAATCCATTAAGCCATACTGCCTCATCATGAATGCAGGGCTTGAGGGGCAGGGTTGGAAGACTCATCTTCCTGAGTTCAAACCTGGCCTCAAACACTTACTAGCTGTAAGACTTTGGGCAAGTCATTTAACCCTGTTTGCCTCAGTTTCCTCATCTGTAAAATGAGCTGGAGAAGAAAGTGGCAAACCATTCTAGTATTTTTGCAAGAGAACCCCAAATGAGGTTATGAAGACAAAGACAAAGCATAGGTGCTTATGTTCTAGGGGCCAGGGAAGAGAACACAAAATGTCACAAGGAAGTAAATACAAGGATTAAATAATTTCAAGGAGAAAGTGCTGATCAATGGAGTCATCAGGAAAAATTTTGCATACAAATGGTACCTGAAGCCAATGATTCTAAAAAGCAGAAGTGAGGAGAGAGAACATTTCAGGTATAGTGCAGGGTGTGGGGGGAAGGAGCATTTGTGCAAAGGCAGGAGCTAGAATGGCATGTAGGGAAAGCAGCTGGTAGTCCAATTTGACTTGGAACAGAGGGAAGGGTATATGAAGGGGAGAACAGGATGTAATGTTTTGAGAGGCAGCACAGCATAGTGGATAGAGAACCAACCAAGAAGTACAGAAAACATGGAGTGATTAGAGAGATAGCGGTTTCCTACACAGAAACAGGAAAGTTTGGAGGAGAGGTAGAACTAAGGTGGCAGGAGAAAAACAAATCCCTTTTAGACATGTTGGGCTTGAGATGCTTTCTGGTGCCTGGAACTGAACACAGTACTCCAGAAACAATCTATCCAGGACAGAGTTTAGTGGATCTATTACTTTTGTTCTGGACATCATGCTTCTCTTAGTGCAGTTTTATTTCCAGAATCATAACTAAGTCAGGGCAACTGAGACTTTGTCTTAGGGTACTAAAATCTAAACGATGCAAAAATTTAATGCATGGAATCCTTCAGAGCTAAGAAAGCAGTACAGTAGCTAGTTTCCTCTTCTATTAAATTTAATTTGTCTACTTATTGTATCATTTTTATGTTATGAATTATGACGTTGATTTGAGGACCCATTTTGAGCTGTGTATTTCAGGGGCATTTCATACTGTTTGCCCTGCCATGTTTCCTGAGGGTGCCAAAATGACTAGTTACGGTTCTGCTAAAATTGTCTTAGCTTGTTTGGCTATCTTACGACACTATTGACTTACATTGAACTTGTAGTCCACAAAAAAGCCCAGATTACATCTGGAGTGCTGTGTTCTGTTTAAAAAAAAAAAAAAGCTTTCCTCATCTCCACCCCTCCAAATGTTTGTTTTCCTTCAAGGTTCAGTTCAGTAGCTACCAACTCAATGATGCTTTCCTTTAACCCCTCACTTGTAACGCTCTGCATTTTTCTTGTACTAAGTTTATTTGTTTAGGTGTCATATTTTCCCAGTAGAATGGAAGCTGCTTGAGAGCAGGGTCTGTTTTTAGTTTTTTGTATCCTCACAGTCCCTAATACAATGCCTTACATACAGTGGTTACTAAATAAATGTTTATTGAATTGAATTGAATAAGCTAAGGAACATCTAAAGAAAAACAACCGGGATGGTTTCAAGATCATTCCCAGAGAGGATCCATTGAAGAAATTGAGGATATTTAAGCTGGAAAAAGATCGAGGAGGACTAGAGAGACAGAGAGAAAGAAGGAGCATCACAGCTCATAAGAACTGTCTCCAAATATTTGAAGTTCAGGATATCGAGTAGAAGAGGAATCAAATTTCCTAACAATCAGAGCCATCCAAAAAGTAGGACAGACTATCTCAGGAGATAGTAATTTATTTTCCTCTCACAGAACATTAAGCAAAGTCCAAACGATCTCTTTTCAAGGACATTACAGAGAAGATTCTTGGTCAGGTAATAGTTGGACTAGATGACCTCTAAGGTTCCTTCCAACTATAAGATTCTGTGGTTCTGTGATTCTGCAATCTCTAAGGTCCCTCCCATTCCAACATTCTATGATTCTATACTCTGTGAGCCACCTGACCTGTACAAGGAGCTTGGGTTGAAAATGTTAAAAGTATAAAATGAATCAGCAAAATTAGGTCAGGTAACAATGATGGAAGAACCTAACTTACCCACACATACATAGATTGCTGGAATAAATACTTCATTCACTGGAACAAGATGTGGAGGTAAGGTTTTTGGATAAAATAAATAAATCAATGAATATTTCTTGAGTACTCAATATTATACCCAATATAGGACACTGGAGATTAGGAGGGAGAGGATACAAAGATTCCATTCAATTCAGCAAATATTTATTGAGAAATTATCAGGTTTGAATTAGGCAAAATCTTTTACCTCATGGTGCTTCTAATCCAGTGGGAGATAAGGTACATAGACACAAAAAGCTAATTAACAATATGAGACTGTGGATGAAAACTGCCAAAAGGCTACTATAATCAAAAACTATTCTAGGAGAGACAAATAATTGCTTCCTGGTACTGGTAGCCTGAGAACCCAGAAAGAAGGAAACGTCTGACTTGGGAAGGAGGTGCGTGAATAGTGACTAGGCACTTATTTTCTCTCTTCCACTGGAACAGTAAATTTCATCAGACTTGGATGACTTTTACAAAATATAGCAAGTCAGATGTAAACTAGAAATTAAGTAGATTTTTTAAAATACCCACAGGAAGCACCATATAAGAACTTCAAAGTCAGTAGTGATGGGTTCTTTAAGGTACAACAGGAAGTCAGCTAAGGAACTGGCAAGACCATTTGATCTACTGATCCCAAAGTTGTATTCAGAGATGGAAAGGAAAGCAGAGACTGATTTTTTTTGTCTGTCTTCACTGAGGAAGACATGGACTTTTCCACTCCAAGACTGGTTTTGAAGCCAGAATTTTTGAAAGGAAATTGACAAACTCTAGCTCATCTATAAGAGGGGATCCAGGATGGTGTGAAGCCAGCAATACTGGCCAAATGCAGCACTCTTGAAGAAGCTAGAAATGTTTAGCCCGGAGGACAGAATACTTAGGAGATACGTGATAGCTTTCACCATGTACTTGAAGAGCTACTAGGCCCCCAAGGTCAGAACTAGAAGCAAGAGGTGGAAATTATAGAGAGGCATATCTCAACATGATGAAAGGAGAAGCTTCCTGACAACTGAAGCTCTCCAACAACGAAACAAGCACTCCCCACCCTCAAAGAGCTTACATAATATACTGGACTTCAAACTGAGGTCAGATCACCAATTGACAGAGATGCTGTCAGGGTTATTATTATTCAGGTTGGACGAATTGACCTCTTCTAATTCTTTGAGTCTATGATTCTTTGAGTTATTAGAGCAAATCAGATGAATTAGATTTTTTAAAACATGACTGCCGTTATGTTACATTGCATCTTAAGAATATACAATGGCTCCCTATTTCCTGCTGCATCAAATGGGTGAAGTCCAGGAGTGAAGTGAGCTTCCTGGGTGAAAAGGTTTCTAGGGCATTGTACAGAAGGTCCAGGAGAGTCAGGAGTGCAGCCTAGAGAGGAATGAATTTACTTTAGAGTTTACTTCATACACATAAATAATTTAATAATTAAATACTAAATATGTTAAATAGATTTGGTATATAAAAATATGCTAAATACATTTAGCCTTACCTCTTTCATCTATCCTCCTTTTTAATCTCAAATGTCTTTCTATCTTCCCCCATCCTCTTTTTGTCCCTACAGACTCACAGGAAAAAATGATGCCCTTTCTTTCCAAGACTAATTCTGCCACTTATTTCTTAATCATTATCTCATTGTCTTCTGCCAAGATGTGGTTCTCCAATTATTCCATCTCCCCAGGATCTCTAATATCTCTCCCTCTCCAGTGGTGTCTAATTCCCTATCCTATTTCTCTCCTCTCTTTCCCTGCCAAATTCCATTATTATTATTATTATTATTAATTGAGTAGCTTCTCTGTCTCTATAGTCTCATCACACGCTCAGTCCTTAAACCCTCTAAAACACAGTTTTTGACCCTTCCACTCAAATAGAACTGTACTTTTGAAGGTCACCAATGACTTCCTAATTTCCAAATCAGTGATTTTTTTCTTAGCCTTCACTGTCCTTTACTTTTCTTCATCACCTCATAATCATAGTCATAATCATTCTCATTTTTCAAATTCCTCTGACTTCTCTGACACCTCTCTTATCTTAGCTTTCCTCTTAACTCTGACTGATCTCTTTCTCCTTCACTGCATCTTATATCCCATCTCCTAAATATGTGTCCATGAAGGCTCTGTCCATGGAATCCCACTCCTCTCTCTCTGTTCCATTTTCCCTCAGACAACTCTCATATCTTCAACTATCACATCTATCTCTATGCAGACTGACTGAATGAAAGAGCATTTATTAAGTGCCTACTACATGCAAAGCATTGGCCAACAGCTGGGAATACATGTGAAAAAACAAATACCGTTCTTGTCCTTATGGAGCTTAGAGTCTAACGCAGGAAACAGCATACATAAGGGAGTGAAGACCAGAGAGGGTTATTTTGGTTTCAAAAGTTACAGGAATGGTTAGT